TTTGGGGGAGGTCAATATTGTCTAGCAGCATTACCAACACTTCCATTGCTTGGTGGGCTCTTAGAGGACATTTAGGTGTAAAGTAGAGCTGAATAACAGCACAGAACTCTGAGAGGACGGACTGGTGGCTGTAAACACACTTTATGTCCATGAAAAGTGGACATCCTCCTAACTAACATCAAGATGGGACCACGGAGCATGCTGGATTCTAGAGAGGTTCAATCTGTAGTGAAAATAAGGAATAGTAAGTAACTGGTTTCATTTTCCAAATGTATTATTCAAGTATTTGTGTTGCTTTACTGTCATAATTAAATTAAATTATTTTACAAGATAATGTGCAAAACCAGAGCACTGATGGGTAGTTATTTTTCATTTTAGTATTGTGCATTTCTAATGTGATAGAATTCTTTGAGTACAAAAACAGAATAATAGAAGGAGAACTAGCTGACAGTTATATTTGGGCTTTCCCAATGTGCCTTTGACACAATTCCTCACGTGCTATACAAGAATCTGGGTCATTAAAGGCTCCATCCTAGGACTAGGATTATTTCATTAATATATATTAAATTAGCTGTAAAATGTGAAACATTTGCAGATGACACAAAATTATTTAGGATAGTGAACACTGGAATGCAGGGGCAGGCCCGAAGTATCTTGTACATTTGTAACATACTATGTATTGTTATATCACTAAAATAAAAGTAAGAAACATCACAGCTCTATGTCTTATTTCAAAGCGTACGGAATTTTATTCCAAGTACAATGCATATAGTATTAAAGCAGGATATTATACGAATTGAAGATGTGAGACTGAAACATTATCTAAATTATATTCTTTTGTACAATAGACTTTACTAAATTATACTTGATAGTGTATAACTGAATGTTTTCTTTTAGAAAGTAGGCAAGCAAGAATAATAATTTTACTATATATTTTAGAAATGTGTGTTCATCTGTCTGCGAGTCCCTTTATTCAAGAACTCCTCCTAAATGGTAAGAACTGGGCGCACCAAATTTGGTATTCAGCTTCCTCCTATGGAATCTCCAGCCTTAGAGGTTTTTAAGGCCAGGCTTGACAAAGCTCTGGCTGATATGATTTAGTTGGTCCTGCTTTAAGTAGGAGGTTGGACTCAATGACCTCATGAAGTCTCTTTCAGCTCTATGATTCTATATGAAGAAGAGAGGTGAGTAAAATGCCAGCAGGTTCACTAGGGGAATCTGGGCACAGAGAAGGAGCAAGTCCCCCCAGTGCCAGTCTTGAAACAGCAGCTGATGCAAAATGAACTTCTCTTTAGGCTGTCTAGTTGAATGGCTCTCAGCCTTCCCAAACTACAGTACCCTTTTTAGAAGTCTGATTTATCTTTCATGCCCCCAGATTCCACTTAACTTAAAAACTACTTGGTTACACAATCAGACATAAATATACCAAAGTGTGTCAGCTCACTATTATTGAAAAATTGCTTCCTTTCTCGTTTTTAAAATATAATTATAAAATCAATTGGAATATAATTATTGTACTTACATTTCAAAGCATAGTCTACAGAGCAGTATAAACGAGTCATTATATGACATTTTAGCGTGTACTGACTTCACTAGTGCTACATAGTCTTTTGTAAAACTAGGCAAATATCTAGAATAGTTGATGTATTCTCTGGAAAACTTCTGCATACTCCCAAGAGTACAGGTATCCCTAGTTAAGAACCACTGATCTAATTCTACTGGAAACACCTTTCTCCATGCACCAAGATTCTGGCTGCCTCTTGTGTGGGAGGCAGAAGGAGAACTTCCTAGTACTTCTTCAGCCATTATACACTCATGAAAGAGCAGATAGAATCTGGTCCTTTGGTGGTTTCAAGTTTCTTTTCTGTGGAGCACAAACGGTAGGCTGAATGTGGCCAGTTGTTGGCCCACCAGATTCTGCAGATTTTAAAGTTTTATTTAAAAGAAATGTGTTCCTAGCCTGTTTGGCTGTAAAGAAACTCTAATTGATTGGGATTTGATGAAGCTGTTTTGCAATTGGATAGTGCAAAAAAAAAAAAGCATTTTCTAAATTTTAACATTTTCCTTTAGATTGAGAACAAGGATAATTTTTAGTCCAAAGAGTAGTGTTGGGGGGAAGGGCAGTTGTGTTACAGAAAATCATGCACATCTGAAAATAGTTTTATAGTGTAAATGTTTCCTCAAGCCAAAAAAAAAAGGTTACTACACTGTTGTAACATACACTGTATGTGTCATATGAGGAAATGATTGAGCTTCCAATCCTCTTCTTTCTTAGGAGTTTTCTTTTTTTGATTGAAAAGCAAAGCAATAGCAAAGCTATTTCCTTCACTTTACCTTTTAAAAGGAGATACTTTCTGCAGTTGCAGAGGTTCAAAGCAAGACTGAAACACAGGCAAAAAACTGGTATCTTTTTCAGCATATTTAGGACAAGTGAAAGAGCACTCACAGCTCATTTTAAGTAGCCTTCGGAATGCAGTATAACACCAATGAGTTCACTCATACTTAATTCACTTCAGTCTGTTATTTTTAGAAGTCATCATGCAGTTCAGCAGTACTCAAGCTCATATCTTTTTTGTAATGGATGACGCTGCTCTACTTCCCATTTTTATTTATAATTAGCTTATAGACTTTGCCTACACACAAATGTTATATTAATTTAACAAAACTGGTTTAGAATCAGAATTATATAAGTATAAGCCCCTTGTTAAACTCTCTTAAGAGCCTAGTACATCAGTTGTCTGACAATGGGTCACAGTTGAGTGGGCAGTTTGCAGTGAAGTATGGGTTTAGACATAGCCACTAGCCCATGTTGTCCCTAGTTTGATGAGTAGGTGGGAAATGGTGTGAAAATAATGAAGTGCTTAGCACTCTTAAGTTACAGAATACCAGCAATGAAGCTAGCGCTGTCACTTGCTAATATTTTGTTCAATAAAAAATTGAAAATGAGAATGCTTGCACCACTAGAAATTCATGTCAGTCATGGGGAATTTGCAGATATATACAGAAATGTATAAGGCAAAAAAATTAGGTATATATCACCTAAAAATTTGGAGCATCATTGGGTCTGAATATCCACCCACATGCATCTTCTAATCCCTGTTCTGTGTGTCTGCTTCCATCAGAGAGGATCTAGTTAACTTAAAAGTGAAAAAACCTGCCAGATCTATTAGCAGAACACTGACCCGTGAAAGAGCAGTTCCAAGTGATAACGAAGTCATTAAACAGGCATTTGCCAACCCCAGGTATATACTGTTAGTTTTTCAATTTATGGTGTTAATCTACAGGACTTTAGTTTAAAACTTGCTTTAAAAATATTTCATTAGTGTGTTGCTAAATATTATAAAATCACACCTCTAAAAAATTATATTCATCCTACCCGGTCTGCCGTCAGGCCTTGGGGCACCGGTTTCATAGTACTGCTGAGGGCCCTATAAATCTAAGAATGGCCCTAGCAATGATTGCCCTATGTTTATATGAGACCGTCACTTCAAAAACTGGAAAAACAGATGACACCTTTTCCAAGCTCCTGTCCCAGAAAAGCAGGAGATAAGGGGCAATGATTCTGATTTTTTCACCAAGAGGGTTTCCAGACAGACACAACCCAGCAAGTCAAGGCAGCAGAGCTCCAGAACATGGAACAACTAGAACAAGGGGGCTTGCTGCCTCCTGACACTTAGTGATCCATCACAAATGTGAGGACCAAATAGGTCTTCTCTTCCTGTATCTCTCACAGTCTGGCAGGGAAACAGGCAATGGACAGCGGTTCTCAATCTGTTTACCATGGTGAGCCACACATGCTGCTCTCTGTGTGTTATGTAGGCCTCATCCACACCATAGAAGTGCTACCTATATGGGCTTGAGAATGTCACATGGGCTACAGTTGTGTGCTGATTGAGCTGTAGGTTGCAAACAATTGATCCAGAGCTGTTGTTTCCCCCTTCTCTTATGATGATTTTTCCTAGAGTCAGCACCTATATCTGTCTCTGATTCTTTGCTCCAGCTTTGTCATAAGATGGAGCATTTGCTCTAACTTGTGCTGCTGGCAGGGACCATACACGAGTGGCAATAGCCCCTCCCATTCCCTGTCTCTGACATGCTGCTCCCCATCTCAACACTCCTCTGGCATCAGCCAGAGACTGCAGGCCAGGAGGCACAGGCATATAAAACAATCCGTCTGCACTCTGGACCCTCCTACTCTAGGGAATCCCCAACAGGGGATTATAGGTTGTTTTTGCTAAAGAAGCAGAACAG